CAGGGAAACAAATTCGCTGTCAGTTTTCAGAAACGAAGATCAAGAGAGCAAGAAAAGTTTATTGCTTTCTTTCATCAGCCGATGCTATGGATAGATTTTTGAAAAAAGGCTTTTAGTACTTATACCTTTGGACAGAAAACAAAGGGTAGCTATGCTCCGGCTTTCTTTCAAATCCTCATAAGCCTTTTAGAGTAGTTAATAAATTCAAATAAATCATAATTGGCTTTGAGTGCCTCGCTAGCGTTGGTTGCATATGTGAACATCCATAATTCCAACTAAAGGCTTTGATCAAAAACTCGAGAGAGAAAGAGAGCGGAGTGTGCTTTTTTGCACACCTAATGGAATGTTTGTGCACCCTATTATATGAATATTTAGCAGACACAATGGGAACCTTGAATAGAAGAAGGAACGAAGCTTTGTGATGTACGAATTACCAATTCGTTTCCTTTTTTTCGAATCAGCGGCCTTAATCTCAGAAGAAAAGAAAAGTTTGTACCAGGTTTGAGTTATAAATCTCTCTTTGGCTGCACAAAACACTTAGCACTTTGTGACCTTCTCCCATATGAGAGAACACAAGTGCAAGCAGAATGCTGTCACATGTACTTACATTTGTTAAAATTCACCATATCAAGATACCATAAGGTCTTCGGCCATCTGTGCAAACTGTGCGAGTTGATGTTTGCAAAGAGAGGGGAGTTGACTTTGCGGAGTTAAGTGATTCACAAAGAATCAGATCAGTAGTAGTCCGCCTGCACTCCATTGATGTCTCATGTTTTCAAAGACATAAAGGCGTACAAGAATCGTGGCTGTGCCTAGCGGCACGAAAAGTTCAAGGATTTTTCGCTTGAGATTTTGTCCAGCTTTAAGAAGCTGTAGAATTTCTGCATGGTTAGCGTAATATTACCTTCTGAGCGCTATGGCGAGAAGAAAATAATAGTTTAAATGAAAATTTGGAAAATAAACCGAAAAAAGAACCGCTTTTCCACTTCAAACACCATCAT